CCCCCCCACACACACAGGTGGGACAAGGAATCTCATTAACATAAAATCGATACTGTGGCAGCCTCTGGCTTTAAAGCTGTTGCAAAATAATCTGATTTTGTCGAATGCATTTTGTCGAATATATTTAATGACGACTTTATGTGTACTTTAATTATCGTTCAGCAATTAAATTTGATACTACCATACCACAATATGCCGAAGGCCCAGGAAGCTGTCTCACTAACGAGGCAATCCTCAATGTCCGGATCGGATACAGGAACAACTTTTTTTTTTTGCCAGGTTAATAGAATTACTATTAATAAAAATTGTCAGTGGTTAAGAGTATGTGGTTGTTACTGAGTGCCCGTGTGTGGTTCGCTTCTTCTTTCCTATCAAACATCTATCGTCCCTATCTCTCCTCCTTCTTTTCAATCAAACATCAATCCTCCTTTTTTTTGTATTTTTTAAAACTCTCTAGTAACACCTCTAATCTTTGGGACTTCATTGATCTTCTTGTGTTGCAAGTGCTGTAAAACTCTTACTTAAACTACGACCCAGTATGATGTCCACTCTATGTCTAGTTGATCCAAAGTACTTTTGTCGGGGCAGTGTGCACGACACATGATATGTGTTGGGTGTGTTTTCTGGGAGGGACGGGGGTAGAGCCATGGGGGAAGGGGAGAGTGCTTTTGGTTTGGTGAGGGGGAGGGGGGGAGTGTTTGGAAATTTACATACAGGGTACTAATGTGAGAGATTAAGTTATGTGGTGTGTGTGTGTGTGTGTGTGTGTGTGTGTGTGTGTCTCTCTCTCTCTCTCTCTCTCTCTCTCTCTCTCTCTCTCTCTCTCTCTCTCTCTTCCTCTCCCTCTCCATTATTCCTCACGCTATCTCAGCTTTCCATTCCCACAGTTACTCGAATAACTCACCAGTGAGATATCAAGCCACGATCTTCCTGTATTGACCAGACACATCCCACTGGCCCCATGAACCAGTGCGTGTTGACGTCGGAAACAAAAAGATTGAGTCCCGTAAAGAAAAGAGTGCGTGTACTCGTCCTACCAGTTCTCCTACTCACATCCTTTTAAAACCAAACAACAATTGACCCCGTTAAGCAAGAAATGGGTGCTCCTGTTGTAACTCCCCCACCCCTACCCCTCTCGTCC